TAACTTTGCATACAACTTCTTCTTCTGAGAACTGCAAAACTGAGCTAGATGGTGAACATGTTCCTTTCTGCTTTTTGAATAGACCAGGATGTCATCGATGAATACGATAACAAATTAATCTAAGAATTGTCTGAAGACCCTGTTCATCAAATCCATGAAGATGGTTGGAGCATTAGTTAGCCCAAATGGCACGACCAGGTACTCATAGTGTCTATACCTGGTTTGAAAAACTGTCTTGGGGATGTCTTCTGTCTTGATTTTCACCTGATGGTAACCTGAACGTAGGTCTACTCTGGAGAATATATGCACACTCTGCAACTGATTGAAGAGGTCATCAATTCTGGGAAAGGGATACTTGTTATTGATTATGACTCTATTCAATCCTTTGTAATCAATACATAGTCTCAACGTTTCATCTCCCTTTCTGGCAAAAGTGACTCCAGCAACCCAAGGGGACACACTCTATCTGATAAAATTACTGTCTTGCAATTTAGTGATCTGTTTCCTCAGTTCTTCCATCTTGATGCGGTTCATGCGGTAAGGAGCAACTGAAATAGGTTGGGTGTCTGGCTGTAGGTCTATGGTGAATTCGTCTTCTCTATCCACTAGCAGTTCGGATAGTTCATCTGGAAATACATCTGGGAAGTTTCGGACTACCAGAATCTCTTGAATACAATCATCTTTCTTGGGCTTGCCTAGTTAGAGAAAACAGTAGGGTTAAAGTATTCGACGAATAAGAAAACTTCTCATCAAAGAATAAGTACTAAATGATTTTATTAATTTGTAAATGGCTCATCATTAGGAGGATTGAATACAACCGTTTTGCTAAAACAATCTACGGTGGTGTGATACGCCGCTAGCCAATTCATTCCTAAAATTACATCAAATTTTTCTGTGTCTAATTATATTAGGTCTACACTCAATTTTCTATCTACTATCTCTACGACACAAGCCCTGTAGACAATTTCTCCCAATAGTATCATACTCCCAGCAGTAGACACAAACAATATAGAATCAAGTTTATCAGGTAATACATTAAATTTGGATGCAAAAATAGGTGAAATAAATGAATACGATGTACTAGTGTCAATCAAAATATGAGCAAGATAGTTACAAATAGTGTACATACCTTGTACTACGTCCGAGTTGGCTTCAGCATCCTGCTGGGTGAGATTGTAAGCCCTGTCCTAGATAGGAGATCTGACCTGATTCTGGTTTCTTGGGTACTCTCTCGCATAATGTTGGACACTACCACATATGTGATAGGTGTTGTTAAGGCGGTAGTAGGGTCGGACCCTGTGATCCCTACCACAATGCTGACAGATCTTACCACGTCCTATCTCTGGAGCCTAAGGAGGAGCCTGGATTACTGGCATGAGCCTCTTATTCTGTTGGACAGACACAGTAGGTGCTGGTCTGCGAGGTGGAGTTGAGGGTTTGAGGTTCCCTGCCGCCTAAGGGAGGGTGTGGAAGCTCCTCTCCACCAGCTGTGCCTTGGCCAGAATAGCCGAATAGGTCCTGAGCTCCAACACGAACAAATGTTGCATGATCTCTGGGTGGAGGCCCTACTAGAACCTCCTAGCCTTCCTGCCCTCATCCAACAATGTCTTAGGGGAGTATCGGCCGAACTCCAAGAATTTATGAGCATATTCTGACACAGTCATGTTCCTCTGGACCGAGTGGACGAACTCTATCTCCTTCAAATGTCGGAAATGCTCTAGGAGGTACTCTACAACAAAGGCTGCTAGGAACTGTTCCTAAGTAACTGGAACAGGTAGGGTAGTCTGTTTGAGTTCCCACTAGCGGTCTGCTTCTCCCACTAGCATGTAGGTAGCAAGGGTTAGAAGTCACTCCTAAGGTCTTGAAGGCCTTCTCTGTCTCTGCCAATAAGTACTCGGCATCTTCAAAAGAGGATCCCTCCATAAAAATGGATGGGTTTAGTTTCTTGTACCTCTCTATATAGCCCAGGTCAACCGTGGGAGGGACTGGGTCCCGTAGAAAAGGGACTGAGTCTCGTGGAAAAGGGACTGGGCCAAGCTGATGATAGACTGAGGGGCCATGTGGTAGTACTTGCTGATATGGTGGGGGCACCGGATTATAGTGTGGCGGTGTCGAGCAGTACTGTGGCTGGGGCACCGGATCATACTGTGGTGGTGCCGGGTGGTACTATGAAGGAGCAAGGTCGTACTGGGGTGGCTCGGGATCCTCTCACTACAATGGTGGCTCAACCTGTGGCAGCAGGGGAGGGTCAAGTAGCTCCCTCCTCTCCTCTCAGCCCTGCTAGGCAGTAATGAGTCTTTCTAACATCTCAAATATCCTGTCAACATCTTCCCTAAACGAACCATCCCGAGCTGCTCGGTTTAGTGGGAGTCTTCCTCTTCTCATCTCTCTGTACCTGCATTTCACAAGAAAGGGTTAAGTGATAATTTATTATTTTGGTGTTTCTCTAAATATTATTGTGTAAAGGACAGGTCCAAAGAACGCGACTCTGATACCAACTGTAACGACCTCGAAACTCCAAAAGAAAATATATAATAACTTAAATGCGGAATCGAAATAAGAAGTTAAGGTTTACATCCCTTACACAATAACTTAAAAGTACTAAACAAATATCACGGAAAGAAATCTCTGAAAGAAACACGAGAACTGAGAAAAGTAAAGGGAAACATAAGGTATTTAGCATTTACTCGCAATCTTCCTACGGATCGGGCTCAGAAACCAAGTTCTCTTGATCTGAAATGATTAAATAGGAATGAGTTACACTAGTCCAGTAAGGATATCACACTATATCACCGATACAGAAGTAAAGGTTGGTAGAAAATTAAAACAACTAATTGAGCAGTAGATTTAAACTAATACATTTATTAACAATAAAACCATTTACTCTTTTACTTACCATCGAGGAATTTATAAAAGCAACCTATAAAGACAATAACATCATACAGATCATAACTTCATGCACAATCAATAACATAGAACATATCATAAATTTATATTCATTAACAATAATTAAATTATAACCGTTTCTCGTTTCACCAGCCTACTAGTATCCATGGGGATCCATAGGGGTGTCCCCGCTACACGTGAACTCTTTCCCTTAACAATCTTAATTACAAAGTCGTCCTCATACCCTGTCCGGTATGAGTGCCAAATTACCAAGTCTCCATACCCCGTCCGATATGAGACAACGTTCACGGTAGAGTTCTTTATGAACCTGGTCCGTCCACCATCTCTCAGGATATCTAGTGAGGCTGTCATCTTATCTGCTTATTAGATCACACCTATTTCCTATTTTTCCTTAGTCTCCGTTACCAAACCAAACACAATCACTTAAACAATTAACATGCACCCGGTAATGTAATCATATCTTAAATTCCAAAATCACACAGTTGTCAAGTAAGCAGTTATACATGCATTTAAAACCATATAATAGATAAACCAGATACCATAATGCATTTAAACTGTGAAATAAATCAAATAAGAATCGACAAAGAATAATGTCCGGTTCGGGCTCCATTAGCAATCCGTAATTAAGTATGCATATCTATTTAATTTGTACAAAATACAGTATTATCATTTATTCAAACTTCAATTGCATGATAGAAAATAGGGTGAGAGGTCCTTACTTGATTTGACGTCGAAAGCTAAGTGGTTACTGCGCCTATGAGCGGTCCCAAGGTTCCCTAAATTTTCTTCAGGAACTAAAACGTGCTTATGGTACCCACAAATGTCCCAAATAAACCCAAAAATCAGTCCCAAGGCTTACTCATCCAATTTCAGAGGCGCCGTGCTCCGGCGATCCACCTCAGGTTGGCTGTTTTTTGTTGAATTCAACCAAATTTGCATCAGTTCCTCGAGAAAACACACTTAGGACCCTTGATGGGCCGAAAAAATGTAAAAAATCGAAACTCACCGGCGGTGGGGCTCTCCGGTACGGCAGCTCCTCCGACTCACGTTGCGGTTAGGTGTTTTGCTCTGGTCAACTTGTAGAGAAGGAAAAGATGATCATAACGGTAGAAAAATCACATCGAACGGGAATCGAGAAGGGACTCATCGGAGGCATTTTTCGAAACACCCCAATGCGGTGCTGCCGAGCTTCGGCGGCGTTTTCCTTCCAATTGATCGGTTCTTTCACTCCTATTTGGCCATGGGTGGGTCTGAAATTGAATTTCGTGCAAGAGAGAAAATTTTTACCTCATTTGGCAGTCAAAAACTGCTCCGGTGCGGCGGCGGGTGGCGACGGTTGGCTCCCCAGCGGCTGGGCTATCTTCTCCGGCGAGGAACTCTAGCGGCTAGGGTTAGGATTTGGGTGCATATGGGGTTATTTATACCCATCTGCTTTTAATATGGGTCGTTCATCGCTTTTGATCTGCATCGTCCGATCGCGA